CCAGCCATGGCTGGGGAATTCTGGGAGCTGAAGTCCACACATCTTCAAGTCACCAAGGTTGAGGAACCCTGATCTAGACCTAAACTGTGCTGGACTTTCAAGGTAATGTCCAGAATTTGTCTTTCACCGGGAAAATACTGGCAGCTGGGGCAATGCATTTAGTTCCAGTATAAGGCAGGCTCCCTGTCCGAGCTCCTCCAGAGACCAGCTTAGCTGCTGAGTTTGGTGCCAACCAAACTTTTAGGCCTGGACACAAAGGCAGCCCCAGAAGGCACTTATTCCAGCACAGTAATCAACTGTGGAGGTTACCACTGCAAATACACACATATACCTACACCCGTCTGGCACCTGACAGTGTGAGTTGTCTCCTGTGGAAACTTCCTCCTTCTGCTGAATAACTGAGGACTCACAGAGAGCCAACTTATTGGTTTGGACATTAAACAGAGCCTCCCCAAGATAAGGAGCTTCCCCAGATAGGCAGAAGTAAATGAATTTAAAACAGCCATGATAGCAATGGAAAAAAGGCTGGAGAAGACTGTCTTCAGCCCAGAGCAGTTTGTATACCAAAGAGAGGAGGAGGAGGAAGAGGCGGCGGCGGCAGCTCCCTGGAACCCTCTTCAGCACAACTCCCATTTGGGGGTGCAAATATGGTGCTCTGCACACAGGGCAACTGTTGTTGCAAGCAACTTAATGAGTACTACACGCGCAAGGAGGTGGGAATAACATTTGTTTGTCCTTCGTTGGTGATATTCCTAGAATTAGGAATAATGGCCTGTATTATACAACACGTGCATTTTGGCATGGTCCAGCCTCCCTCCAACAAGATGCTCTTTGTCCTCTCTGTTACTTCCATACCCATCCCTCTGGAATAATCATCTGGACACAGGATGGAGAATGTTCTGCACACAATTCCCCCTCTGGAACCACAGAGAGAAAATGAAAGCTTTTGGAGAATACTTTCATCAAGCACGCACGCAGCAGATCCTGAATGGCTTGAGATAACTTGCAAGCTGCTGCTGCATGGGAAGTTAATTTGCTCAGGGCAGAAAGTCCCCCCACCTTTTACAAAATATTACAATATGTCAGACTTGGAGCAGCGAGTGCTGAGTTCAAATCCATGGCACCTACAGAGAATCTCAACCTACTATCTGCAGTCTGAAACCGAGAGGGACACCTCAACATTTTATGCTGCCTTAGCAAAGCTCTGGTATCTTTCTGCCAATGTCCCAGTTCCCTGCCTTTTTCTAGAGTGCTGTTGTGCCACAGCTAACATGGCACCGTCCATCTCCTAGAGCAGGGTTTCTCAACCTCAGCTGCTTTAAGATGTGAGGATTTCAACTCCCAGAATTCCCCAGCCAGCATGCTTTAAGATGTGTGGGCTTAAAGCACACTGGCTGGGGAATTCTGGGAGTTGAAATCCTCACATCTTAAAGCGGCTGAGGTTGAGAAACACTGTCCTAGAGGGAAGTACTGTATTGGCAGGTTTGGGGGAGTTCAGATACTTGCAGAAATGAATGTGCAAGGAGAGCTAAAACTGCTTAGCTGCTACCGAAGGCTTCTGACTACTGGGGGAGGAGGGCAGAAAGAAGTAGTCTGAAAGAGAGTGTGACTGCCTGGAATAATGAATAGGAGGACCTCACACTGCCACACTTGGTCATAAGTCCCATGTCTGTATCTCCGGAGAGATGGCTCACCTATTGCCTAATTTTTCTCTGGAAAGCAGAAGTTCAGGGCTGCAGTGGTGGCAGCCCTGCTACGTGGAATTGTCATATTTGGAGGTAGCACAAAGCCTCTAAATGTCCAACTCCAGAAGAACAAGAACAGGAGGGAAATATTTATTCCGCCATTTAATCACCTTTGACGTGCCGCTCGCTTTCTCTTCTCCGTTTTCTATCCAGAAATAATTATAGCAACCTTCCTTGCAGGGCTGACAAAAGGATTACTGAGGTAGCTTGCAAAGGAGCTTCAAAGACCTTACAGTACGTGGCAGTTACTTATTAAAACCAACCTTGTATTTCACAGGCAATTTCAGACAAAATGGTAGACTTTGTGTCCTTGGGAAAAAATCAGTAAACAATGTTTTAAGCATGCTTGAGAATGACCGGGTGTGAAGAAAGGAACTGTACTCTTTTCAGGGGGAGGGGAAGGAACCCATTGAGAGCCCATTCGCAATTTGAAAGAGCATGTAGTGGGTGCACTCACAAAATGGCTGCCATGGGAGACTTACCTACTCACAAAATAACCACTATGTCGGGCATGGTCAGTATCAAAATACTCACTGGCTAGAAAGTGAACCACACACCTCCCTTGTGTGTGGCATTCCTTCTACCAATCCAGTGAGACCTTTGGGCAGCCGAAAAGTATTGCTACAAATAAATACGACAATAGAGACTGATGCTTTACATCACATCAACTTCCTATCAATGTTTTGATAACCATAATCCTTCCAAAAAAGAATGGGGGGGGGAGCAGGGAGCCAGCTGGCACCACAGTGCTGACCCCTGCCCTATATTCATTATGATAGAAGTTTGGAATATTCCTAATACCACCACCATTTTTAGAAAACTTGTCTCAAAAGAGCAATGTAGAGTTGACCACTTAGTCTTGGCACACAATTTCACAAAAGTGATCTTTCCCCCACTCGCTATTCTGTGTATAATTAAGCTGCTCCGTGAAAGCGACCATGCCTAGCTCTCACCACCATAACAGCAAATGAAGGGGGTTTTGTAAAGCTTCACACACTGTCATCGAAGAATTCGGATTGCTCAGTCCCAGGCAGCCGTTCTACAACAAGCCATCCGTATTCTCTGGGGATGAAACAGGTTACAGATACATTTACAAACCTGTTTTAAAGCTGCACTGAATCAGCTCTGGATTGGGGGGTTTCAAAACATGTTTCACCCTAGTATAACTTTCACCACATCCTGCCCAGGGCCTGATGAGCCAGAGGCAGCTACACAAAGACAACTGCACGAAACAGCTGCCCAAATTGTTCCTCCCAGCCCAAACACCAAAACATCTCCTCGGATTCCCTTTCCGCAAAGCACAGCTTTGGGTCCAAGGGGCCCAGACGGAGCCCGGATTCCCCAGCCCAGCCCAAATGGTTTTGAAAAAGTCACCGTTCAGCAAACAGGAGAAAACAGCCAAGTCTTTAAGGAAGAGAGACACCCCCCCCACTTCCAGCACATCTGGACCCGTCATTTCTTTTCGCCGCTCTCACCTGGCTGGCTTTGTAGAACTGCTTCTTCAGCCCTGCCACAGACATGACGGTCCTGCTGAGCTCACAGAGTCAGGGAGGAAGAAACGGAGCCCCGAGGAGCTGGCAGGCGGATCAGGACCCCGCTCTGGGGCACGGAGGCTCTGGGCGGAGGGGCAGAGCGGGGAGAGAAAGTGGGGCAGAGCCGTCCCCGCTCTGGCATTAAGGAGTCAGCAGCAGCCGGACAGGGGGGTCAGGCCGGTCCTGGCAACCCAGAGGGGACGCTCCGGGCTCGGGGCAAAGGGAGGGCGGCTCCCCGGAGACAGAGAGGTTGGGCTCTGGATTGGAGAAGCCCAGAAGCGCCCCACCGGCCAGAGCAGCCCCCTCCCCAGCGAGGCGGGGCCCAGGTCTCCCTGCTCGAGGCAAGTCAGGCCAGAGCAGCCCAGGGACCGACTTAAAAGCCGAGCACCGGCGCCCAATTCATGGAGAAACGCAGACTCGGGCTCTGCCGGAGACAGAAAGAGACCGCCTCCCAGCGAGGGCTGCTCTAGGAGGCTGCGAAAGCCAGCCTCTCCCTCAGGAGCCCAGCCGCGGTTGGCTGGCGGGTTTAACAGGCTCAAGAGACTAGTCCTCAACGAGGCCAGAGGAGAGCAGAATCCCTGGGGGTCGGAGAGGCCGGCGTAAAGGCTTAAAATAACGTTTTGGAGAGGGGGAGTCTTCCCTTTTCCGTTTCTTTTCTTCTGGAAGGGGAGCAGAAGGGAAAGCGCGAGAAAGAGGGAGCGCAGACGGGGCGGAGAGCCTGAGGGGGGAGGGGGAGGAGGAGGAGGAGGAGGGCGGGCTGCCTGACGGGCGGGCGGACGGACACACAAAGTAGCCCCAGAGCGGGCGGACGGACAGGGAAAGGGGAATGAGGGAGACAGACGACGCCCCTCGGCTCCCGCGGAGCTCCGAGCTCAGCCCCGCTCGCTCTCCGCGTCCCTCAGGATGTTACACGGTCCGATTGCACACTTCCGTCCCCTCACTGCGCCTGCGCAAACACGCTCCTCTCTCTCCCGGCGGAGGGATTCAAAGGCGGCGACTTAAAACCCCAAAGCGGGAGGGGGAAAAAGAGGGTCCGGTTTCCACGCTTTTACCATAGATAGATGAGTGATAGAGCGTCCATTTATACATTTCCGTCCCTTCCCTCGGGGAGAGAGAGCGTCAAGGAAGGCGCCAGAGCGCCCCCTAGTCCTCGCGCCCATCACGCGCACGTGATAATTGCAGCCCGCCCAGCCACGTGTACTTCAGTTCAACTCCCACGGGGAAGGTTACGTCCGCCTGTTTCTGAGCGTGGATAATAGGAACTGTAGTTCAATGCTTGGAAGAGTGCCCAATTGGGAATTATCTCGCATATGGGATGCTTAAGAGTGCACGTGTAAGGTGGAGGGTTTTTTGTGCCTTCGAGTCCGTGTTAATTCCTGGCGACTGCCTAGACCAGTGTTGTCCAAACTTGGCCACTTTAAGATGAGCGGACTTCAACTCCCAGACTTCCCCAG